ACGGTACCAGTTCACCTCCATGGGGGTAGAAAGCATAAATGGTGTGAACGGAAGCCGGTTTGAGATTCGATACCTATACCATGCGCGTGGTGAGCGTGCCTCTTGCCACTACATCACTTTCACATTCATATAGAGATATTCAAAAACGCATCCTAGATTATGTTCAATGAAGTCCACGCCCTTCGTTTTCTAGCGATATGGGTTGTACGTCGTGCACTGTGAAGAATACGCAGCGTTTGGCATATGTTCCCTCCATTAGTTATGAACGTAATAGTGGGAGCCTTGAGTGAAAATTCCTGAACACCGCTGTACACACAAGAACAAAAACCACGTGTTAGACTGAATTTTGCCCAGGTTGTCTACTTTTCGAACTTGAGTGATTTCGTCTGAGCATACATGTCTGGTAGTAAGAGGGTTCGTGAAGCTTATTGTCAGAACGGTGCTGCATGCTCACGGAAACACTCTGAGTGTGGATTGTGAGTTTTTCTGGCCGGCCGTGATTGTGCGTTATTTGGCTAGGTATGGAAGGAACACTAGGCGTTCAGACCTATCGCGCTACAATCGTAGCGCTACAACTGTGCTGTAGCGCTGCAGTTGTACCGAGACCCCAGCTTCCCTTTATGTTCTTTCTTCCGGTATTCAATCCCTTTTCACTGTTTCTCATTTCTACCTGATTCTTAGCTCCTCTTTTTCACTTTGACATTGAATTTCAATGTAGTTTTTGACGTTTTTGACGACGTTTCGAGTTTTTCTAATGTTTAGACGCTTTTGACGACGAGTTTCTCTGAAATGGTAGAGAAATTTTTTATCGCAGTGTCCTGTTTCAAAAACTATTGGGTCGGCCCATAAGTAACGGCGTTTTTTTGTCACACAATTTTTTATATGGAAAACGACAATTGTTCCCAACGATCTTTATTTCATTAAATGGAAAATTCGGGTCGACCCAAAAGTGAATTTTCGACAACTACGTTCTGAATTGTATCTCCAAGACTGAGAAAGATGGGTCTTATGGCAGATTGACGTTGGTTCAAGCTATGTCTGGCCTTGTAAATGAGCATCGCATGGGGTGCCATCTTGCTTGCGGAACCCATCCACTAAGTTTTGAAGTTCTCCACTCAAGTGAAGGTGATGCTTGATAATGATAAGGAAGCATTCTATGACCTCTAACGATCCCTCAATCTTTGGCATGATTCTCAGTTAACAAGGTAATTCCGTAAGCTCTCAGCTGGACAGAATAGGGCCAGGTTCGATGGTTGTCTGTGAGGTCGAAACTGAAATCTTCGAACCACTCAAAGTATTATTAGCATTCCTAAGAGACATAGCCTTCAGCCATATACTTAGCAGCTGGGCCCATGCGGTTTTAGCTTTTTAATTCAGAGGTATAAAAGAGAGGCTGTCGAAAATGCTCAATTTCGTCGACCTGACACTCCAATTTGAGCACTCAGATATTAGTGGGGCAACCCTTCAGGGAAACTAAGAAAACTGTCGTGTAGGGTAAGGAATTCTCTGCCAAACGGTATAAAACCTGATGGAAAAACTTTTTTTCTTCAGCGCGATATTTTGAGTGAGAAAAAAGCGAAAGAAAAAAACGCATCCTTGTCAACGTCCTATACGCATCCTTGTCAAATTCCAGTGAGGGCCGACCATGCACGTCATGACCGTCTAGCCAATTTTGCGAATACCAACGAGCCGTGGACACCGGTCAGAGCAGCGAAAAAGATGTCGCTCTCCTCACAATGAATACGGACTCGGCCCAGCGGCCCCAGGGTTCTTGGATGACCCTTGATGCATTAACTCGCCTTTACTCGTTACCGACTGTCCAGGTGGTCCTTGCTCATCAGCCCTCTCCTCTAGTAGTACCCTACTGAAACACCGTTATTACAAGGGCCGATGCGAACAATGCGGTATCCCCGTAGCAACACTGGGTCAGTCTTGCCGTCGGACTTAAGAACCTTTCCATCTCGGTATTCGGTGATCTTTTCCCGTGTGAACTCTCTCTGGATGAAAAAGAGATGTTAGTCCACGGAAACTGGGCCAAATCTTGTTCTTAGTTTCCCTGAAGGGTTGCCCCACTAATATCTGAGTGCTCAAATTGGAGTGTTAGGTCGACGAATTTGTTTGAGCATTTTCGACAGCCTCTCTTTTATACACCTGACTAAAAAGCTAAAACCGCATGAGCTCAGCTGCTAAGTATATGGCTGTAAGGCTATGCCTCTTAGGAATGCTAATTATACTTTGGATGGTTCGGAGATTTCAGTTTATACCTCACAGACAACCATCGAACCTGGCCCTACTCTCTGCAGCTGAGAGCTTACGGAATTACATTGTTAACTGAGAATCACGGCCAGAGAT